CCTGGGACAGAGAAGCAAACGTGGGGGGTGTGGGGAGTCACCAGCTGATAGGACTCCCGTCGTCGTAGTCTGAAATGTATTCATTTGAGTATATCTGCATTTGCTTATCTATACGCCTTAATGATCGTTCCGTGCTGGGTAACCGGTGCTTGTGGAGTCAGGGAGCTCAGGAGGTGGGAGTTCGAAGCCAGGGACCGAGACGCCGGCCAGCTCGTCCTGTGCGGACAGGCTGAGCCTGGCCCCAAAGTACAGCTCTGCTCTGCAGCCTCCCAAAGGCTCCTCCCAGCCTTCAAAAATTCGCTCCTAGACCCAGAAATTTCACTGACGAGTCTCTCATAAGGAAATAAGTCTAAATATAGAAAAGCGCTCGAGTGCCAGGACGTTCGGAGCAGCCTTCCCTGGAAGACCGAGGAATTAGAGACAGACTAATTGTCCAGCAGCGGGGGACCAGCAGGCATGTGACGGCTGAGCCACATCGTTAAAATGACGAGTCTGGAAGGACGCAGCCGAGAGGCTCTCACGGGGCAGAGCAGAGAGCAGGCCCCAACTCCGTGCTCACGGCTCCGAACACGCTGTAAGAGCACAGACAGAGGGCGGAGGGACAGAGCCGCACAGCCGCAGAGGTCCTCCCGCAGGAGAGAGTGTGGGTGACTCCTCCCCTTTGTTCTGCGGCTCTGCACCGCTCAGACTTCCCGGGGTGGACGGAAGGGAAAAGCTTGTAGTGGTTAAGTTCACGCGCTCCCCTTCAGCAGCCTGGGGCTCACTGGTTAGGATCCTGGGTACAGACATGGCACCGCTTGTCAAGTTATGCTGTGGCAGGCGTCCCACATATAAAGTAGAGGAACATGGGCACGGATGTGAGCTCAGGGCCAGTCTTCCTCAGCAAAAAAAAAAAAGGGGGGGGAGCTGGCCCCATGGCACAGTGGAAAAGTCGACCTTTAATCAAATTGGTTGTGTTAACTAACTAGTGTGTAAAATCATTCAGTCTCTTTGGGTTAGTGTGTGGATGCGTGTGCATGTTATATTAGTGTGAGGGTATAAATGTGTGTGAGTGTGAACACATGAAAGTGCAAGCGATTGGCAATCAGAGAGTGTCTGAGTGTGAACATAAACGTGTAAGAGTGAGGGTGTCTGTGAGTATGAATGCTATGAATATCAAAGTGTGTGTGTGCAAACGGATGACTGAGAGTGAACATGTGTGTGCACGTGTGGATGAGTATGTCTGCACATGTGCATGAGTGTGAACGTGTGAGGGTATCTATGTGTGTGAGCAAATGTGTGAATCTGTGAATCTGTGAATCCATGCTCGTGCTTGTGAGAATGTGTGAGAGTATGAGACCAGGCGGGATTGTGAATGTGTGTGACATGAGGACGAATGTGTGAGGGTCTGTGAACCTGGGGGTGAGCACGTAGCTGTGCGTATAGGTGTGAATGTAAATGAGTGTGTGAGGGTATGAATGTGGGTGTGTGCATAAGCACGTGAATGTGTGTGTCTGTGAATCTGTGTGAGTGTGTGTACGAGTGTGAGTGTGACTGATGGCGTCTGTCTTGGGGGGCAGCGGCGGGGTGTGGGCCCAGCACCCATGGGTGGGGCGGTGGCCCTCCCTGCAGGTCTGGGCGCCGCCAACCCCAGGAAGCACGGCCGTGATGCTGGGCTGCTCCCTGCTCTCTGCCCCCGCTGGGCTTGGCGCCCACTGCGCACAGACGGGACCCGGTGCACAGAGGCCACCCCAAGGGCGAGCAGGGCTGGCGGCCAGCGTGGGAGGTGCGCCATCACCCGCAGGAGCCCCGTGGCCCGGGCAGCTGCTGCCAATGGGCTGCACCCCTCGCCCCGGCCATCCATCCTGCCCCACCCAGAACCCTCTACCTGGGACTCCCCGTCAGAGCCAGCGGCCCCGTGACAACTGCGATGCTCAGCGGTGCAGAGGACACTGCCGGGCAGGGCTCGGCCACAGTCACTTGCGTCAGCGTCACCAGTTTTGAAAACAGGGCCATGTTCAGCCGTCCTGGACAACTTCCATCACGTCGCTGTGTGCGGCCTCTGAAGCTGGGGGACAAGAGGCAACGCTCACACCTAGCCGCTTCTCCACGCGGCCACGGCCACAGATGTGACGGGAAGGTCGGACGGGAAGCGCCCTCCGTGAGCCCGGCTGTCTTGTGGCCCAGGCTGTGTGGACGGTGACTCCCTCCTCCGCTCCCCCATCGACTGGTGTGTGGCCCTGGGCAGGTGCTCTACTCCTGAGGCCTCAGTCGCTCACCTGCAAGCAAAGGTCACAGGAGCTCACGGCAGATCCCTCCTGCTCTGAAAGGTCAGGGCCCTGTGACCCCTTCTGCCACCACCGGGAGAGGTGACCGCTGGCCTTCAAGAAATCCTGTGCAGCGCTCCTGGTGATGCCCAAAGTTGCTGGTTCTGTTTTTTTTGATTGGCACCTGACCTAACATCTGTTGCCAATCTTCTTTTTGTGTTTCTTCCTCTCCCCAAAGCCCCCCAGTACACAGTTGTATCTTCTAGTTGTGAGTGCCCCTGGCTGTGTGAGCTGCTGGTTCTTGCCGTCCCTCCTCCAGCCGTGACTCCCGAGGGTCCCACAGCAGAGCCCCCAGTCGCCGTGTTCCCGGCTTGCGCATCCCTGAAAGGATGGCTGTCCTTGAGGTGGTTTGGATTCTTTTCGAGGCTCAGCCTGTGGACCTGGGCCAGGCTGCCGCGCACACTCGGTCAACTCCAAGTGCAGCCACGGCAAGCTCTTCACCATCCAAGGCCCTCTCTGCACGGTGCTCCCCACCAAACGGGGGTGTCCGCTCAGGAGGTGCGTGGAAACGTGAGTCCTCCCGGACTCGGCAGTAGGGGCTGGTCCTTCTGCCTCCACCACAACCCTCCTCTCCAGCAAGGCCAACAAGCCTGGGCCTCATCTTGCGGTGGACAACAGCCCTGTGTGCAGGGGCCCCCCACCACGATGAGAGAAGATGCTTCCAGAAGCTTCCAGCCCCCGGCAGACGCTCTAGACACCGTGGAACAGAGGCCAGCCATTCTGTGGTGCCCCATCCAATCACCGGCTCCATGGAAGCCACTAGCATCTCCCGATGGGGCTGGAGGGGGCTGTCGTCCAGCAAAAGGCGGCACACCCCGTGGCTCCTCAGCCTCGGCTCCCGCCACACCTGCCTGTCACCTACGACCGAGTCACACGTGTGTCCAAGGTAGACGTTGCACCTGCCCTCGCATCACGTCTCCCCCCGCAGTCGAGTTTGGCTCCAGCATGCGGTCCCCCCTGCCCCTCCTAGGAAGGTCACTGCTGACCCCTAGAGTACAGTCCCCTCAGCTTTCTCCCCGGCTCCAGGCCAGAAGGGAGCCATTGTGGGGAGTCGCGTGGGCACATGCAGAGCTTGGATGGCTGGCCTAGACACGGTCAGGAAGGCCGGCGCCTCCTGCTCCCCCCGTCGTCGTTTCACTCCAGGCCACTCCCACCTCAAGGAACAAGCCAGGACCCCTCCCAGCCCAGGTTCCCACGCCTCCCCAGACACCTGCCGGCCTGCCCTGGTCCCCCCGCCCCCATCACCACCTTCCATCCCCCTCCACGCTGTGGCCAGAGCCCCTTCCCGGAGCCCAGGTCTGGGGAAGGATGTTTCTGCCTAAAACTGATGCTGCAAATGAGTGAGTGACAGAAGGACAAATCCTGTAGGACTCTGTGGATACACGGTTCCCGGAGTCCAATTCTTAGAGATGGAACGGAGGACGGAGGCTGCAGGGCGGAGGCTGCAGGGCGGGGGAGGGGGATGGGAGTTAGTGCTGACCGGTGCAGAGCGTCAGCCCAGGATGACAGGGAGCGATCTGGAGATGGGTGCTGGGGAAGGGGCACAACAGTGTGAATGCCCTGAACTGCACCCTCAGAAATAGTCAAGTTGGTAAATTTTGTCATGTGTATTTTACCACAATTATATATATATGGGTATGTATTAAAAACAAAAAGGACTAGGTCCCCACGGCCCCCCGGACAGTGACGATGCTGACGCAAGATGCCAGCCAGAGTCTCCGGGCACTGTCACTGCCCGAGCTGCCGTGGGGCCACACAGACCCTCGTGCAGAGAGCAGCTTCAGGCCCCGCTGGCGTCCCCGTGCGCCTGCCCCCCGGCCCCGGCCCGGTCACCCCCCCCGCCAGCCTACACAGGCCACTGGAGAAGTCACCTCCTGATGGCCCCAGGCAGCATCAGAACCACCCTCTGGGTCTCACGGCTCCATCCAGGCACACTGACCTGGCCAAGCACAGCGTCTGTCCTCAACATCTGAACAGCAGTGGGTGACAGGAGTGCCACGCGCCTGGGCCCGCCCTCTGGGGCTGGGGGGAGGGGGCCACAGGGCAAAGGTCAGGGAGCGCCCCTACCGGAAGGACCACACAGCTGCCTGGTGTTCTAAATCAAGTCCACTTTATTGGAAACTTTTCACATGCCACGAATTTACATTAAAAATATCCACTTAAAATGTAGTTTGAACACAAAATTCTGGAGCGGGCCTCACCAGGCAGACGAGGGAGCCCGTCGTCCAGAGGCAGGTGACGCGTGTTCAGTCATTTAGCACCTGGTCACCGCATACTGTGAGACCCCACTAAAAACATGCTGCGCCCAACTGCTCGGGCTGGAGCTGCCCTCGGACGGCAGTGCTCGGAGGGGTGCCCGGTGCAGGGCTGGAAACGCCCCCGAGAGCTGCAGGGCGAGTGCCACGTGCCGCTCAGGCCCTGTCAGGGTTCCGCGGGAAGTCAGGCCCTGGCAGGTGTGGCGGAGCGGCCACTTCACTCCAGGCCCCGGCCTCAGCTCCGTGATGGACGTAGCAGACGAGCAGACCCCCCAATCCCCGAGGCTGGCTGGCCTGGAGCGGGGCGCAGCAGTGCCCTGGCCCCGGGACACTGGTGTGTGTGAAAGAGCCTTCAAGTCAGCTAGATGACGGTGGGGGGCTGTCGGACCTGCAGTTTCTACATTTCTGTGGGCATCCGTTCCTTATGCCCAGGGGACCTCAGACACTTCTCGTTAGAATCCCGCGCCCCCAGCACAGACGAGACCACTGACCATTATGAGGGCTGAGCCCCTCCCGCACAACCCCAGCTGTGTCCTGTCAAAGGCGGAGGGGACTCGGGCCGAGGCGACTGGACCACGGGCGCTGGCATCCACGTCTCCCTCACCTCAGGTTTCACTGGAGCCCATGGCCACCGGCCACACTTCCCCATCCTCCTCATCCACTAACGTGTCTTATCAGCCTCCCTTACAAGACCTCAGCAGTCGTCCAGTCCTGAAGGAGCAGTGATGAGGGCGAGGAGCGGGAGGGTGTGCGGGGCCCACGGGGCAGGGCCCCTCCTGCAGGCGGGGGCCAGGGCCATGGGGTCCCCGCCTTCGTGGCTCAGACGCGGGGGGACCACTGGCACAGTCGAAGCTGGTGCACTGGTTTTAGACCCTTGTGGGCCAACAGAGACTCGGATCCCTCAGCTCCCGCAGCCTAGCTTTCCCAGCCCAGGCCTCTGCCAAGCTTTGTCCCCTGGGCCGAGCGGCCTGCAGCTCTGGGTCCTGGCACAGGGGGCGATTAAGGGAGCGTCGCCTCCACAGCGAGCCCTGCAGAGCTGCCTGAGGGGGCCGGCACGTCAGTCCCTACCCGAGCAGAGAGCGCCTTCCTGCCGAAGGCCCTGGAGAAGGGACCCTCTGGCCTGCGTCTCCTCCGACCATTGGAAGGGCAGCTAACAGCCAGGGATAAAATCCAGCCCTCGTTGTATGAAAGAGCGACGCGTTCCCAGCCCAGCCTCCTTGGGCTTGGAGCTTGCAAATAAAAACGCTTGCACGTGAAAATGAGAAAAGCCACCTAGAGCAGAGAAGGGAGCCCGGGGCCGTGGCCTTCCTCAGGCTCAAGACCTCTCCCCTGGGGAGCACCTTGGGACCCGGCCACCCAGGTTGCTTGGTGGTATGGCAACAAAGCCAGAGCCCCCGGGGCAGACCAGGCCACAGGACGCAGGGCTGGCGGAGGGCCGGGGAGAAGTGAACCCCGGGGGCTGGGACCGGGGGGGGGGGGGGGGGGGGGGGCAGCCCTGGGAGGCCAGGGGGCTTCTCTTTAACAAAGGGACAAATGCCCGGAAACTCTCCTTCCCCGTTCCCCCCGCCCCCAGGCTCTCTCACACACACCATGCACACATATGTGTATGCATGCACAAACAGACTCCTGATCAGACACACAGGGATGAGCACACAGACACACACACACGTGCACACACACACAGACTATGCCCACAGGTGGATGCACACAGACAGACACACACACCCCATGCACATGCACACACACACGTGCACGGCAGAGACGCACACACGCAGGCACGGTGCTGACCAGGCCCTCTCAGCAGCCAGCATATGGTCCACCGCTTAAAAGCCCACTTCTGCCAATCGGGGACCATTAGGGTGGGTTCTTTTCCCAGCGTAAAATGCTGCAGAATATAAATTGCAATTAACACTGGTGCCAAAATAGCACTTAGAGAGAATAAGCACATTATTAACATCTGGTGAATCCTGTCTCGGGTGTGGAAGCAGCGGAAATTCTCGCTCTAAGTAAAAGGATGGTTGCAGGGGACGCTAAGAATACAAAGTCTGCTGCTGGGGGCTGCTTTCCAAGGCAGTTCGTGCCCCCCACCTCTTTTGAACAGTCCCTCCTGGCCCGGTGTGTTGGCAGAAATGATACTCTGGTTAAAACCGCTCACTCAGGGGCACAGGGCACCCCGTGAGGGTGTGAAGACACACCGCAGCCCGTGGATAAAGTCCCGGTGGGAAGGTCATTCTCTGGCCTGAGCCCAGAGGGCTCTGGATGAAAGGACAAGGGAAGGAGAGCTACCCAGGGCCCCCGGGGTGGGCCGGCCGGGCTCGTGCGGGTCCTGGCATCGGCCAGGCCACCTGCCTCTCTCCTGGGCCGCGTCCCCCTGCCTGTCAGGCTGTGGCCAGCCACACCCTTGCTTTGACAACAAGGAGCAGTCCGTCCCCAGACCACCCTCGCCTGGCGGTCTCTAGGCGCCATCTGAAAGAAATGCACCGAAACGTGGGGTGGGGGAGGGGGTGCTCCCACCGCCTCTCAGACCCTTGTCTACAGCCGTGTGGCCCTAATGGGACCTTAGTCCCACCTCTCCGGGTCCAGGGCAGCCTGTCCCGCGGCCTGTGAGGCCAGGAAGAGACGGGCCCCAGGCTATGGCCTCAGGCTGCTGGGCTTTCACAGGAGGCAGCCCGCAGACCAGCCACTCCAGCCAGGAGGCAAAGAGCCGCCAGCCTCAGCGCGGGGCAGGGGGTGGGCAGCTGTGCCGCAGAGACAACTGACCAGCCGCGGCAAGGAAAGCAGGGCGAGGGGAGGAGCACTCAGGCCTGCTCCACCCACACACGCGGCGTCCGCTCAGTCAGGGGAGACGACGGCACAGCCAGAGCCGCAGACACATTGCATGTCCGTCTGGAAGATTCGGCCAGAGCCCCTGGAGGCCTTGGTTCCTGCAGCCACCGTCAGAAGGCCTCCCAGACCCCCCGGCCCGGTGGGGAGCGGGCTGCTGACCCGGCTGCCCTAGAGAACCAGGGAAGGGCAGGTGAGTGAAAGCCCAGGGACCAGGGATCCGGCCTCTCAATGGCAGGTAAACTGTAGGACACGCTACAAGGAATGGGGTGCCCGTCCCTGTGGAAAGAGAGCAGGAGGATGGCCGGGCTGGGGGCCATGGGGCAGACGGCAGGCAGGATGGGCACCAGCAGGGTGAGCAGGGCCTGGTGGGCTCTGCACCCCCAGCCCAGAGGGAGAGGGAGTCTGCGGGAGACAGGCCCAGGGCCTTGGGAGGCAGCCTCTGTGGAGACTGAGGCGCCCTGGCTGGCAGTGGCCCCAAGGGCGCCCAGCATTCCCTGGAAGTCTCCAGGAGCATCACCGAGAGCGACCAGGTGGAGGGGCCCCAACAGTGGCCCCTCAGAAGCCTACCCGCTGACGGGATGACGGTGCTGGGGAGACCTCGCGGTTAAGCAGGCAGACACCAGGGTGAGGCCCTGCACTCTGGGCCTTCCCCATTTTTGGAATAGCTGCGTGGAACTTTTTTAAAGTGCTAAATAAAGCTATCTTGAACAGGTAATCTGATCACTACTCTGGCCCTAAACATCCTTTCTGGGTTTTAATACTTCGAGTTTCTCTAATGAACCCAGGTATGTCTGTGCCTCCCCAGAAATCCAGATCTCCACTGTATGCCGCGACCGCCGTCCGCCACGTGGCAGACCCTGCCCGGGCCCCCAGCAATCCTTGCCCCCAGTGGCCTGAACTTGTCTGACATCACCTGGCTGGAAACATACGGGAGACGTCATTGGGTTAAAACACACCTTATTGGGAATGAGAGCCCCAAGTCTGCAGCCATAAGGCCTGCGAGCTCCTCGCTGCGTCACGTGCACAGCTGGCCCCGGGGTGGGGGTGGGCACTCAGACGTGGTCATGGGCCTCACTGTCACAGACGTCAGTGTGGACATCTCACAGGGCAGGCATGTCCACCCCCTTCACAGTCACCCCCAGCACCGGGCCCCAGCACACCCCTGCACGGAGCCTGGTGGCAGGTGACCAGGAGCACAAGAGCAAAGGGACACTCGGGGGTTGAAGTGAGGGGGGCAGCAGTGGGCCCACGTGGGGCTCTGGGGACCTGGTCAGGGCTCCCAAGGAGTCAGGGCTCCAGCGATCGGTGTCTCAGTTCCCGAACAGCCACGGCCAGGCCCACAGGTCGCCCTGACCGCCAGCTTGCCCACCTGGTCCTCTGCACACCATCTCAACCCAGAGTTCACCAAGCAACAAGTCCTCACACGGGAAAGCGGGAGGAGGCATCGCAAGGCCCCGGGGGACAGGCGGGTGTGCAGGACGGCCAGGGAGAGCGCCTTCCTTCCTCTTGTGACCCACCACAGGGTCCCCAGGGGCCGGGCAGGCGGCGAACAGCAGTGGTGGCCGAGGAGCGCAGTACGGGGCGGTCGTGCTTCCTCGGCTATGGAGACTCACGGAGGCGACGGGCGCGGCCAGGGCGGCTCGGCCAGCAGAAGCAGCTTCGCCCGGTGCTGGGCCGTGCCTGTCACCACCACAGGTTTGGCGGCTCCTCGGCCACTCTGCTTTTAAATAAGGTGATCTCGTCCAGGTGTACCATGGGGACGTCGCGGATGACATCAGTCAGGCCCTCGTGGAGCAGAGGGAAGATGACGACATTCAGCGCGGGCCGCTCGGCCTGGAAACTGAAACAGAGGCAGCCGTTAGCAGAGCCCGCGGAGGCGCGGAGGAGAGGCTGCCTGCAGGAGGCGGCCACGAGGTGCGCCCGCACTGGCTCCAGGGCGCCTCCCCAGACCCGGGCTGGGTGCATTTCCCTGTGGCCTCTGCTGATGCCCAAATGAGCCCTGAGGGCCCTCACGCTGGGGCACAAGCAGGGGCCGGGGGAGTGGGTGGGGCAGAGGAACCTACAGGGGCTGCCGCACTTCTGTCCGTGCCAGGCAGAGGGCTGGAGGCTGAGGGAGGCAGCCTGCTCCAGAGCAGGAGCACCCCGCTCAGGGAGGAGCCGAGAGGGCCTGTCGGAGCAGGTCACTGCATTCCTGGGCAGCAGAGGGTCCCTGGAGGCAGGTGATGCCCAGGGAGCTGTGGATCTGGTGCCTGTGGCCGCCCCAGGCCCACAGCCAGGACGACAACCTCAGGGGGGAAGAGAAGGGACAGGCAACCAAACCCACATGCCCACAGGCCCCCCTCGGGGGGATAAACTCCCAAGTCAGGCGAGGCAGCGACCCCACCAGGAGGGCAAACCAGCGCTGATCCCCACCAGCCTTGGTGTGAACGGGTGACACGTGGCTGTCTGAACACCTCCCCCTCCCCACCCACAGGGGATGGGCTCCCCTCTGTGGGGAAGATAAGGAGGGAGAGTGTGTAATTTCCACGGAGCGCCCACCAGGGCTGGGGACTGCGCTAAGCATCCAGACGTCACCTCACACTACGTCTCCCGGCCCCACGGCTGGCCCACATGGGGACCATCCCCCTGCCCACCTGGGGAAGCCAGGCTCGGGAAGGCGATGCCCTGGCCACGGTCCCCCAGACGGTCAGCAGCAGAGTGGGGCCCCTCTCACCCTGTGTGACAGCCAAGAGACCACACCAAGTGCCA